AAACAGCGATCCATCGATCGCACCGACCACGTTGGGTACACGGCATACTCGCTCAAAGTCCAGCAAAAACCACGTTCCATTTCTGGAGAGTGTGTGGCAAGCGATCGGTGGGTTCTAGGTAGCAGCTGTTCAGTATGGTAACAGCCGATGCAGTACGAATCGCACCCGTAATATTAGTTAGCTTACCTGTACAGTACGATCAGCTACAATAGAGCTTACCTGATCTTCATGGGCAATTGCCTGGGTCTTGCCTGTCCCGAAAATACTACCGGCTACTTCATATGACCCCTTATGTGTGAGATTAAACAACGTAACGCCGACGCGCGTCTCAATGTCGAACACAGCGTTGCTCCCCAAAGGCGAGTTGATGTCCGTCCATTTGGACTCGACACGACCAACGGTCATCTTGGAGGTGGTGAATGTGCACCGTAAATAGAGCCGGTACCAGCCTCAAAACTGTGTATTTCCACGCACAGAATCCAACGGGCATGCACGTGTAGACCAAACAGCCATAAATGGGTCTCTGTAGCAAAGTCCATCGTGTGAAGCAGCTACGGCTGCAGCGACAGCCACGTATTCTTTGTCGATGTCCCCCGCCATCATTTTGTGCTGCGAAACACGTACCTACGAGATGTATTATAATAGCAGAGAACCTTGCAACTAAGCAGATGTCGACGAGATGGGCTGAGTGGACATTACTACAATTGAGCCGTCAGCACATAATAGACGTGCATGCATATATATTTGTAGCTGTATAGTTTCCACCGTTTTTCAAAGTGAAGAAGTATGTTCGTAGAATAGCGCCTAGGCACTCAAAACGAATAAAGCGCTCACTGGGCGCTATATTTTATTAGTATGCCTGGGCGCTCTGTGCGGGGTAAGACGGTAGCTACTAAAGTAGTTCAGTAATAATTCGGTATTAACCCCTTGAACGCGAACGTTTTCCAGTGCACCCATTTACCGAAACCCTTTCGACGTTAACGTGTATGTCGGGGAAGGGTTTTAATAGTTAGACTGGTATAAAATTAATCCTGTAGGATAGTTAAACGCATTGAACCCCAACACCTAGGATGGTGAAAATTTGATATCGTGTATCCTACAAGAATATTTGACTTTGAAATACACGATACCAAGATATCGTGTCCAGGAACGTACAAAAACTGCTCACAGCCCAGCGCACTTTTCTCCTAAATATAGACTTTAAGTTCAGGTAAAAAGGAGATACAGATTTCATACTTTTATCAAGACATTTAAGACCGCAAAATCATCTGCTTATGGTGTCGCAGCGTCGTTGTGACGTCTCTTTGACGGCCTACTGGTGTCATCATCCCCGCTGTCACCACTCGCAGACTTTGCCTCTTCGACACTATCGGCTGCTGGCCTGCGCGCGCGGATCTTTCGCTTTCTCTGTGACGGCGGCAACAGGCTGCCGTTACACCAATGCTTGTGCCAAATCTCGAAGCACGAAACGGACTCACCGTTGTTTACATGCCTGACCTTGTTGCACAGGTACACACGCGACGCCAGTGGCTGCTTTGAGCTTGTGTGTAGCTTGCAGGTGCTACAGTAGAATGTAGTCTCGCCCCCTCGCGACTCGTCGGAGCCCTTAAGCACCGAGCATACTTTGCATGCTCGTTGACGTCGCTTTCGACCTTTCCCGTTGTTTCCATCCCTCCACTCATCCACCTGCACCGGTACGTGGGTTCGCTGCAATGGCGGAGCGCGTGACTTCTTCGGGGTACGCTCCACCGCGCGAAGAGCATCCCAATCCGTATCCTGCAACTGCGTCAGCTCCATATGTAGTTGCTTCAGGAACTTGACATGGCTGAGCTTGGGTTTTTCATCAATAGCACGCCGTCGATTGTACACAATAAAAGCATTGACTGTTGCCAGGTCGATGAAGCCCAGAAAAAGCGACTTGTAGTATTTCTTATACTTTAGAGCCAATTGAAGAGAGTACCTGATACAACATGAATTATACAGGGTTAGCATCAACACTATCTTGTACATACAGCAGAAATGTACTCACCTTTGGAGGCGAAGTTGATCGTGTACATCAACTCCGCCCATGAAAGTTTGGTAATGTTTCAGCACTCTTGGACATGCCACCTCGACTTGCTCGCCAGACTTCGCTCGTCGAACTACGCGATCTTACTCAGTACTTCCACCCGCACACAGCAAATGCACAGGACAGTTGTCCCACCAACACACTGCTTTCATACTCGGCACTAATGTTGACTCGGCAACAGCGTAGGTACCGCGATGTACATCAGCAGGCCGCTTCTTCTTCTTCACGATAATCTCTTTGCAAAACCCACGCCGGTTGGTCATCACTGTGCCTATACTGTAGAACCCCATTGCTAGGAGCTGCATGGAGAGTGTCGGTGACGTGTAAAATCGGTCGGTGACCACTAGACGTTTTTCGATGGTCCCTCTTGCTCCAAAAACTTGCCTCAGGTTGCGAAAAACGGCAGCTGGTCCACTGTTGGCGTCCTTCGAAGAGGATGACCTGTCCGTTTGCCGCTTACCACAGTAGACTTCAAACCTGTATCATACACATTTGCATTGTTACATACTTGTATCCTACAGCTTAAGAGAACTTTACAACCAAAAAAAAAGGAGCGTGCCGTGAGGCACGCTCTCAACTCACCTGAGACAGTATGCTGACGTAGAGCAGCACAACATGAAGAGCTTGGTCCCCCATTTATGGGGCTTGTCCTTCATGTAGACTCTCATCCGGTTGAACGTTGATCTTGAAGGCAACATTGCCTCATCAAATGCCATCACTGGAGGCGGTATGTAACCCGCTTTGAACTGTTGTTGGAGCGCGTCGATCACAGGACGCAGCTTCCAGGCACGATCTGTTGCGGCGCGGGGGTCGTTGCTGCTGCTGAGGTGGAGATTTCGAGAGATGTGCATGAACCGATCCCGCGACATAAAAATCCCGAAGCGTCCACGAGGAATTCCTCCTTCGTCTGTCGTCTTCCAGTGATTCTCCAGCTTTTCCTTGTTGGGAGCAATTGTTCGAGCAAATAGAAGCCCAACAAATACGCACAGCTCTCGAGCAGTGATAGGTGGCGTAGAGAGTAATGCAGCCTTAATCGCATCGCGCGTGCTCTTCTTGAATCCAGGAATCTTCTTCTCTCTTTGTTCCTGCTTCGTATACTGTCCTTCAACCCGTTCGTCGATCTTTTCATCAAAGTATTCGTTGCTTGCCTCCGCGATGTCTTCCCACAAGCGAGGCTGCATGAAGTAAAATAGCACCCCAGAAACCGTCGTGGCCGCTTCTAGACTTCTCGGTGTAGGTCCGTAGTGTTCTCGGAACAACTGCGGGTAATCCTCTTGCATATTCGCCGTGCGAGGCTCATAAGGCTGGTCGAGATATGGAAATGGACTGTATGATACAGGATTAGACCATCCTTTGCTTGCCATATCCTTCAGGATATCAGCGCTAATCGTGCCGCTTGTAATACTAGCCATACCACCAACCGCAGTTAAAAGATCGTCGTCAAACAATGCTTCCGCTGGATCTTCATCATCTTCTTCCAGCTCGTCTTCGTCTCCGCCTTCAGTTTCATCTCCGAGTGCACTGTCAGCGCCGTCAGAACACCCGTCATCGTTTTCAGCATCGGACACCATGGCTTGGTACTCCTCAGGATCGTCTGCGTCTACAGTAATGTTGATATCTGCTACAGCACAAGTATACAATCTACGATCAGTATCCTGTATCACAAACGTGTACATACGATCTAAAACGCACCATCACAAAACGCAGCAATCCTTGCCGACCGGCGAGGACCCGTAATCACTTCTTGTCGTCCGGTCTCATCAACCTCGTCAAACGCCGGGTCCAGATTGTGTTGAATCTCGGGATCATCTTCCGAGCTTGGCTCATCGTCAGACTGGAGGCTATAAGTCATACGAGCTGACACGTCGGGGTACTCGACTCGTGGGGTTGGAGAGAGATGAGGCGATGTGCAGCGCAACGTCGGTGAAGGCTGGCTGCCATCACTATCACTGCGCGAGACGCCATTAACTTCATCTACAACACAGCAGCAATATACATGTTAGATCGCACGCTAAAAGGTATAATACAGGTAAACACAGCATCATACCATTGACTGGCGTTGTTTTTTTGGCAACAACATCATTCGTGTCTCTGCTGTCTTCATTTTGCTGATCACCACCTTCTGTATTGCTCTCCTCGCGTAACGTAACTGCTGTAAGTACCACGTTTGTATTATACATCATTAGCCGGCAGAATATCGTGTATATTCAAGACCAAGCATCACAATACCGCTAGACGTGGCATCGACGTCTTCCTGAGGCTCAACGCATTCAGCAGTCGTAGCAGAGGCTGCTTCTGGTAGTGTAGGCTGCTGTGCTTCTTTGGCAGCTTTCTCTGTTTCAATATAACACGTTAGACTGTCATTATGCGATGCAAAATAATTCAAGGTCTTACCAAGATCAATGCGGTCTAAGTAGCGCATTAATTCCTCTTCTCTGACGAAAACATCGACGCCACGGGTGTCCTTCTTGATCTTACCAGGCTTCAAGTATGTGAAGTCAGCAGAGAGGCCAGCCGGCCTCTTCGAAGACCAGCCTTCCTTCTTCAGCTCAGCCCAGCGGGCGCGAAAACCTGACATCTCTTGGACTCGGCGCAAATTCTTTAATGAGTGAAATGAGTGGCGTGTGAGCTATTGACTGTAAGAATTTGTCATACGTAGTCCACACCACACTAAAACCTAATTTTTAGAAAATGGAAAGACGCACTTCGAGCGGGAAAAGATTTGGTGAGACAACCCGGCACCCCGTCCCCTATTTCATTTAAAGTTTGTACAAACGTCAAGTCAAAATTCCTTATCGTGTATGGTCCAGGATAAGCTTTTTCTGATATCGTGTCTAATACAGGCCGTCGCGTTCAAGGGGTTAAAAAGTACCAATTTCGAAACTACAGGCTGTAGTTTCGAAATTGGTAAAAATTTCAAACCCATTTGAGCATGAGCTCTCACTCCACCGCTCTGCGCGTCGTGTCGCTCCTTCCCTCGGCCACCGAAAACGTCTGCGCGCTGCTCTCTGCCTGCCGCAGTCATGCGCCCACCTCGGTGCGCTCTGACCTTATCCCGGAGCTCGTGGGTCGCTCGCACGAGTGTGATTTTCCACGCGATGCCTTAGATCTCCCCGTGCTCACAGCTCCTCGAACGGCCTTCACGACCTCCGCTGATACGCACAACCAAGTACGGGAGGCGCTAACCAGTGCCGCGTCACTTTACTACCTAGACGCCGACAAGCTGACCGCGCTGCAGCCCGACGTGATCCTCACACAGAGCACGTGCAAGGTCTGCTCCATCGACCTGGCAAGTGTCCAAGATACAGTCGGTGACGCCGCCCATAAGACGACACTGACGGACCAACTAGTGCAATCCTATTGTGCATCAAGTGAGTCAACAGCAAACCACTTGACTAAGATTGTCACATGCAACCCCACGAGTCTGGTGGACGCTGTGGTGACGCAATTTAAACAGCTGGGAGACGCTCTAGGTGTGTCTGTAGTTGGTGAATTGATGGCCCAAGAGCATTCGAACAAACTAAAGCAGCTTAAATACCAGGCTGATGCTTTTGTGAGCCATGGAGACAAGCCAGAGGTGCTGATGGTCGAGTGGCTGGACCCACTGTTCTTAGGTACGAAAGGTTGGATGAGAGAGATCGTGGAAGCTGCAGGTGGACACGTAGTGGACACTCTGGATGGAGGACAACACGTTGATGTCGTTGTAGTGGCGTTATGTGGACTCTCACTCGATCAGACAGAGCAAGAGTTGCTGGCAGGACGAGTTGGGGACTGGTGGAGGACACTGCTGAACCAATCTGATACTGTACCTAAAGTATACATTGTGGACGGTACGTCCATGTTCACACGTCCTACGAGACGTCTCCTTGACGCGCTAGAGTGGTTGGTGCACACCTTGCACGAACCTGAAAGCAATTGGCTGAAGAGCTCGACGTTCCCATACAAACTTTTTGATACCTCGTTAGTAACAAGCGATTCTAAAATAAAAGAGAAGAAATCAGCAGAAATGCTGGAGATTGAGGAGCTACATCGTGCTGCATGTGCGAATAAGCTGGCCATGTATACGGATCCCTCAACCGGTAACTCAGTTATGACGTCGTATATGTTGACGGAGCGCCAGGTTTGCTGTGGGAATAGCTGTCGCCACTGTCCTTATGGTCACGCTAACGTCAAGGACCCAACTCGTAGGACGAACACGCTCGCTGGGACTGTTCTCCTGCAGCCACGTCGCCGCTCTCGTGGCTTCGCTAAAGACTCCCCAGGTGGTCAAATATTGTGGCCAGAAGGGTCTAATGTATCTGGGGGAATGCATGAACTCGTGGTGGTTTTCTGGAGTGGTGGCAAGGACTCGTTCCTAGCGTTGAGTGCGCTGTATGAGTCTTACGCTGCTAAGCACAAGCCCACGCCTCGGGTGGTACTCCTTACGACGATCGACCCGAAGACAAATGTGGTGCCTATCCAGAATAACAGACGATTGCAGCTCAAGCTGAAGCGCTGGAGCTACCGCTGTGTCTCGTAGCGGTGGGACTTGGTGACGAATACACGTCTGCTCTTCGCAGTGCTTTGATTAATATCCCTGAGCAATTAAGAAGTTCCAAGAAGAAGAGCACACATAATGAGGCGGTCATTATTGTTTCCTCCCTTGTGTTCGGCGATCTTCATTTGGAATATATTCGAACTTGGCGCGAGGAAACTTTTGGGAAGGAATACAAATTACTTTTCCCAGTCTGGAAGAAAAAATACGAGGCAGAATTGCTACCAGCGCTGGAACGGCTTTGTGCCAAAACAGGAGCGAAGATTTTCTTCTCGAATATCGACGAGGAGCGTCTCACTGGTACACCGTGGCAAGTGGACCAAGTGTACGACTGGAAATTGATCCAGGAGTGGAACAAGACCACAACAGACGGTGAAGAGGTTGATCTCATGGGAGAGACCGGTGAGTTCCATACTTACGTCAAATTCCCAGGGATGGAGTAAAGAGGCGAAGAATGATGGTAAAGTTTCATATCTTGCCTACTGGATAATATCCAGGGGATACATGTATCTTAGTAAGATTCGCTTAGTACTGTTGTACTTCGAAGTACTTAATTAAGAACAGGACAGGTGTTTGCTACACAACTTTGTGGTCTACCACATAGATGTACCATTTTGATTATTCGACGCTGCGAACGTTTCGATTACTCGACGCCTTTGAATACGTCATACATGGACTCCATGATGGAGGTAACGAGTGTGTCAGTTCCGTACATGTGGGTACCACACCTGCTCATTTTCAAACTTACCAGCTCAAGTACCAACGCCTGTGCAATACCCAGGCCAGTGAAAAGTCAAAGCGTACACCATGGAAACGACCGATCTGGTTCACAAAGACGAGGAACCGTATCAGCGCGTGGAGACCCCACGTGCCACCGCTGTGGACGTTCATGACCCAGTCAAGCAATCAAGTACTAAAGACAAAGGTACCGCCAGTGAATCTGGGAGCTCCAAGTCCAATCTGCGCGATGAGGTGGTCCACGACGGCCCCAGTTCCTTCAAGATCTCACATCTGTATCGGTACGCTACGACGTTCGACAAGGTGTCGCTAACAATTGGTATCATCACGACCGGAGCGAACGGCGCATTGTTCCCTCTCATGGCTATTGTATTCGGTAATGCTCTCTCGGGGTTTGCTACTACTCCCGTTGATTTGGATGCAATTAATCGTGCAGCTCTCAACTACCTGTACATCGCCATCTTCATGTTCATCACGGATTACGTCTCGTACGTGGCGTTCTACTACAGTGCTGAGCGCCAGATGAAAGCACTTCGAGGTGAGGCGCTCAAACACATGCTCTACATGGACATCAGCTGGTATGATGCCAATGATGCACTCAAATTGTCGAGTCGATTGACTGGTGACACTGTGAGGATCAAGGATGGGATGGGCCATAAGCTGGGAGACGTATTTCGCTACACGATTCAGTTCATCGTGGGCCTTATCATCGGCTTTACCCGTGGGTGGGATATCACGCTCGTGATGGCCAGTGTGACGCCTCTCATGGCCATTTCGCTCAGTTGGCTGATCAAGACGTTCACAGTCATGGCCGAATTCGCTCAAAAAGTGTACGCTGAAGCTGGCTCGGTGGCGGAGGAGACTCTGGGCTCCATTCGTACAGTGGCGTCGCTGAACGGCGAGCAGAAAGCAATTCAGAAGTTCGAGAAGAAAATTCTCGAGGCGGAAAAGCAGAATATCAAGCTGAACAACGTGTCGTCGATAGTTTATTCGCTGTTCTTAGCGAGTGTTTGGGTCATGTACTCAGCAGGTTTGTGGTACGGCGGCTGGAAGGCTTCGCAAGGTAACGCAACGCCTGGGGATGTGTTTGCTGCGTTCTTCGGAGTCATGATGGGCACAACGTCGCTGGGCCAGATCTCACCGAATATTTCCGCTGTGTCTAAGGCCGCTGGTGCAGCTGAGGAGCTGTTTGCTATCTTGGATACACCCAGCGCCATTGATGCCGAGAAGGAAGACGAAGGGGTCATTCCGGGAAGCTGTGAAGGCAAAATTGAGGCGGTGAATGTCAACTTTACGTACCCGAGTCGTCCTGACGCCCAGATCCTGCGGGACTACAATGTGACTATCGAACCGGGTCAAACGGTGGCATTTGCTGGTGCTAGTGGGGGTGGGAAGAGTACGTTGATTGCGTTGATTGAGAGATTCTACGACCCCACCAGTGGCACGATTTACCTTGATGGTCGAGATGTCAAGACGCTTAATGTCAAGTGGCTACGTTCACAGATCGGTATGGTCTCTCAGGAGCCGGTGCTGTTCGCGACGTCCATCTTCGAGAACATCGCTATGGGTGGCGACAACGTGACTCGTGAAGAAGCCATAGAAGCGTGCAAGCTGTCCAACGCACACAACTTCATCATGTCGTTACCGAAGAATTACGATACGCTGGTTGGAGAGAAGGGTGTGTCACTTTCTGGCGGTCAGAAGCAACGTGTAGCCATCGCTCGTGCTATCGTACGTAAGCCGAACATCTTGGTGTTAGATGAGGCTACCAGTGCGCTGGATAACGAGAGTGAGAAGATCGTTCAGGCGGCATTGAACAATCTGATGGCCACGACGAGCATGACGACGCTAGTGATCGCGCACCGATTAAGTACGATTCGTAGCGCTGACAAAATCGTCGTGCTAGACGAGGGTCACATCGTGGAGAACGGCACTCACGACGAACTATTGCAGATCGAGCACGGTATCTACCAGAACATGTACCGTATCCAGGAGTTGCGCTCACTGGAAGAAGAACAGGAAGCCGAGAGACGAGAGGCTGCGACCGAACTAGAAAACCCGAAGATATCTCGTACTTTAAGTGGCATATCAGCTAAGATGGACATCTCGGTAAGCGCTGTGGAGAAAAACTCGCTGATGAAGAAGCCGTTTAACTTCGCCGACTTGTTGAAACTTAACAAACTGGAGCTCAAATATTTCATTCTCGGACTCGTCGGTACCTGTGTTGGGGGCATAGCACAGCCAGCATCCGCGTTGCTGATCACGGGTATGATCACCGCCATGACCGAGCAATACGGGCAATACCAGAGCTCTGGCGACAGGTCTCACTTGAGCAAGATGTATGACGACGTGCAGCTGTACGGCATCTTGTATCTCGTGGGTGCTGTAGTGATCGCCGTCTTCACGCACTTGCAGTTTTACTGCTTCACCTACATGCAAGAGAAGATCACAACGCGGCTACGAACAGATAACTTTACGGGTTTGTGTCGTCAAAATGTGGGCTTCTTCGATGAGAAGGAGAACGCCACGGGTGCCTTGACCGCTGATCTCGCCACGAACGCCACGAAGGTGTCCATGTTGTCTGGCGAGTCCCAGTCGTCCTTTTTTCAGGGTGTTTTCACTTTGATCGCTGCGTTAGTGATCTCGTTTGGGTTCGGCAGTTGGCTGCTCTCGCTTATCATGCTCGGGCTCATTCCGCTGCTTTTGTTCGGAGAATTTGCGCGCATGAAAGAGATGGAAGGCGCTGGGCTCATCTCTGACGATCTCGCTATCCCAGGAGCACACGCGTCCGAAGTTTTGAGCAATATTCGTACTGTAGCCGCGTTGGGGATCGAGAGAAGGTCCGCAGACTTGTTCGATGAGCTACTGAAGGAACCACTTCGTAAGGGCCGCAAGGAAGCACAAGTGAACGGATTATCGCTTGGTTTTAGCTCGTTTATTATGATGGCGACAAACGCGCTGATCTTCTGGTTCGGTGGCAAGAAAGTGGACGATGGGACGGTTGGATTTGAGGAGATGATGCGGACGCTGATGGCAATTACGATGTCGGTTCAGACCGTGAGTATGGCGTCCAAGTTCATGAGTGACGCACCCAAGGCGTTCAAGGCTGGGTCGACTATCTTTGCAATTCGAGACCGTGTCGCGCCAATCGACTCATCCAGTTCAGATGGCCTGCGTCTACCAACTATTGAAGGGCGTCTGGAGTTCAAGGACATTTCCTTTAGATACCCGACACGTCCGGAGATCAACGTGCTCAAGCACTACAACCTCACTATTGAAGCAGGTCAGACTGTGGCGTTCTGTGGACCCAGTGGCGGCGGCAAGAGTACTATAATTTCGCTCATCGAGCGCTTCTACGACCCTGTGGTGGGTGAAGTTCTATTGGACGGCCATAATATTAAGGATCTGAACCTGGGTTGGCTACGTAGTCAGATTGGACTGGTGGGGCAGGAGCCCACGCTCTTCATTGGAACCATCGCTGAGAACATCTCGTACGGCTTCGCAGAGCAGCCGAGTCAGCAACAGATCGAAGAAGCTGCCAAGATGGCCAACGCGCACGACTTCATCACGCAGTTCCCGGACGGCTACGACACTCAGGTGGGAATGAAGGGGGAGCAGTTGTCGGGAGGGCAGAAGCAGCGTATCGCCATTGCTCGAGCCATTCTCAAGAACCCGAACGTCTTACTGCTGGATGAAGCCACGAGTGCGCTGGATTCGGAGAGCGAGAAGGTGGTACAGGAAGCGCTGGACAAGGTGGTGGCGCTGAAGCGACGGACAACTATCGTCATTGCTCATCGGTTGTCGACGATTCGCCGCGCTGACAAGATTTGTGTCGTGAGCGGTGGCAAGATCGCGGAGAACGGAACGCATCAGGAGTTGTTGCAACTGAATGGGATCTACACCAACTTGGTCGAGTCTGCGTCAGGATAGTTGGGAGTTGGTGAAAACATGAACATCGATTTGATTTTCCACTGTCGTCATCTCCACTTCTGCTCTTCTTAAGTCCGTTCTTAAAATGCACATTGGGATTTTGCATTCATAGAGGCTCTTGCACTTGCACTTGCTTTGACGAAGCAAGCTCGATTTTAATAATTGAGCCTCTGGAATGATGCGACTGTGTCGATCGCTTGCAAAATACGAAACATTTTGCTGCGTGTCTTCGAAGTTTAATTTTTTTAAATGCAAAAAATACCGTCAAACCATGCATGCGCTTGCTTTGATTTTTTTATGAGATTCCTGATCTTTGAATGAGTGATATTGTAAAATATGATAATATCTCCATATCTTAGAAACAAAATACTATTTGCTCTATTTTTACTGCTTGGGGCGTCGTTTTGGAGCGTAAAAATAATAGAACACGGTATACATATATTTAATGTAGCTTTGCTCTGAAAAAACATCAAAGCCCGCCGCAGCGTAGCGGGGGTGGTCAGCCCTCTCTACACCAACCAACCATATCCTAGCGTCCGTGGAGCGGGCGCCCAGAGCGATAGTCGCTCCGCTTCTAGCCTTCTAACCTGTCTGTCCGTCTGTCAATCAGTCCGTCGTTTTCCTTTCGTGCTGCTTTTTCCTACCTTTTCTTATGACTACACTCGGCCTTTCTAATGCAATTAATTTCCATCTTACCGACCACGCCTATCATTCTATCTCAACCTAGATATGCCAAGTTTACAAATATACCCAGCAGCGTCACAAAGTTCACTCGCACCCGGATTGGTCGATATTTTCCGACCTGCGACACTGAATTGGATCTGTTGCACGATCATTTGGACGTGAGGTAAACATTTCTACCGAGCACGAAACGCACCGAATGGTTGCAAATACCTAAGCGGCTGTCTTGGCAAATTTTTATTTACATTTAGCTACGAAAATCTGTCCTATGTGCATCAAATCGGGCACGCTAACAACCGCGTTTTGTAAAGGCTTTCCAAAATTATTTTGCTTCACCTGGCACTCTCCATTTCCCAAAACCAGTACCATATGTGAGTACAAATCCCGAAATCAGTACCTTTCCCAAAACCAGTACCAGTACCAAAACAAAAATAAAGTGGACCACTTTATTTTTGTTTTGTGCCGGCGTGCCATTGCAGTGAACAGCACTATTTGTACCAGTTCCACTGGAACATCTAGCCAACGGGCCTGAGCATCGTGTGGGTGGACACTGATCGCCTATAATCGCACTGCACAAGTCAGCCATGACGGTAATACGTCGTCTCTCTACAGTGTGCTGACGGATGTGGTGGGAAGGTCGTCCTGTACCAGAATGATGTCGCTCCATACAGCGCCTGTACTCGCAACTACTTCGCTGAGAGCATGAATATGTGGGTCCAGCTATTTGACTCGAACGACGCGTTTTTGAACTATGTCAAGAGTGACAACTACGGAGACAATTTCGAGAGCCTGCAGGTAGTCTTATCTTGCTATGCCATTGCCACTGTGGACTGAAGCTTCCAAAACAAAGACTTTACTACAGACAGCGACGGTGAAATCCGCCACCCTCTGAAAGCCATCCTCCATAGTAGTTCTTTTTTTGTTTTCGCGACAGGAAAATCCGTCGCACATTTTTATTGGTAGATAAAACGAACTAATTAGCAAAAAGCAAAGTTGAAAACCTCAACGTCTAGTGGCTGGCAGGCCGCTGTACTGTTGGGCGGTAGCTGGCAAACCAGGGCCGACGTTGTCTCGACAACAACATCAAGTCCTTCTTTTGAAACATGTGCGTCGAAGTTATCGAGTATAAGCACTGATAGTGCCTCGATCTCGAGCTTGAGCAGCTCTCGTACATATATCGCCCACACTTTGGCATCCATAAAACTGCTCTCCTGCACTGAGTATACATGACCAACCGGATGTGTTAGTAGCTCCACGACTATCACACTATCTAATAAAGCAATTATATAAAATCAGCAAAATCAAAAGATATTACCGTGCTGCAAACCTGACATAGTCTCATAAACGCACTTAGACCCTTCTCACCGCTTTCCTTACCAACAAGATACGTTTGAAGCCATCGCGTTTGCTGCTCTTTGAAATATTGAATCAGTAAATCTGTACAAATACTAAGCAACAAGCGGTTTTAGGTCACAATGTAGAAAGTAAATTAATAAGAAGGCGGTTTACCCATTCTTCTCGTCGCACATCCTTCATAAAGGTTACCAAATCGTGAGAGAAGTGTATGAACGGCGCTGCACTCTGGCCCTTCAAGGTTTTGCTGGTTTGGGCACCCGCAAAGTCTTGGATGTTCTCTTTATCGTCTAGCCAGTCGCGAAGAGTCGTGCGAGGGATATTTAGTCTCTTTGATGCGGCTTGGCAGCTTCCTAACGACTCAGCAGTCGCGATTGCTTCGCGCTTGGTTAGAATTGTATAGGAGCGCTGAGGCGCCCTTTCCAGAGTGATAGAAATTCTAACTATATGTGATATGCTACCCGTAGGAACCAGTCGATTCAATTTACTCTATCATTGGCTAAAATAAAAACTTGTTCAAATCTTTTATTTTTGAACTTCAAGTGTTCGTGGCGGATTTGTATGGTATGGCGGATTTCACCGTCGTTGTCTGTAATCTCACTTTGGTGAACGTGTCGTTAGCAATTTACAGATTCCTGTCAAAATAGAGCTGACAATAGTACTTTTGTTTGATTTTCAGCGATATATAGTCAAATGGTCTGATAGAATTTAATTTAGTGGAGAGGTGGACGCATTCGATGGGATATAAACGTTGTGTCTTGTATGTAGGTTACGTTAGATTTTATTACTCCGAGGTACTAATTAATTAAGAAATTTACTGGCATGCGACTTGAGTTTCCTGTGGCTTGAGATGTAGAAGGTTCTTCTGCAGGTAATTTTGCCGCAGTGCTCACTTGACGACCGGAAATGATATCACGTAAATTCGGGAGGGATACCGCATGCGGTATCAATTGTGAGTTAGCTAAAGCTGTAATCTTGCATAAAATACGTTGCCAGCCGCCCTGTTTGGAACCGTTGTCCCAAGGTTAGTTCAGATGTACCATGAAGGCTTGTCATATCGAGCAGAGTCATAGTAGATGCCTAACGAATTTGTTAAGGTCGTAAAATTTACAAATGCTTGGGCGAGAAAAGGCGGATACGGCTATAAGGAGGAATAGTTTATCGACTATCCTTAATAAAATCGCTTTAATTTTTTATATCAGGGAGCAGTTTATTTCTAAATCCTTAATCCAAAAATCATTTTACTCCAAAAATCGTCTTACTCCAAAAATTGATTTACTCCAAATTGCGTCTTACAAAAAAGGATATGATTCCAAAACGCGTCTTAATCTAAAAATTGTCTATACTGACATAAACCACCAAAGTCAAATACAGCATCAAGAATTGTTGGCAGAAGTATTGTATAAAAACAAAACAAAAAGAATATGTTTATTCTCTCGGATGAATTAAGTATATAAAGCCAACTACGGAAGCGAAAGTCGATATATTCCACATTCTGGGCACAAAGGCGTAAAGCCATTGTTTCTCAAGTAGTCGTTACTGCAAACTTTATGAAATAAATGGCCGCAAGGGCTAATATAGAGAGGGGGCTGCACATTTTGCCAACATATATGGCAAATACTCGCCACAAATCCGGTGTTCACAATTCATTCCATTTGTAGGACGAGCGTCAGGATTGTTAAGGTTTGTGTAGCTGACAGGACATTCATCACTTATATCGTTTTTTTTCAGTAGCTTCGAGAGTCCCAGCCTTCTCAGCTTCCCCATCGTTAGTACGTAAATTTCCATTATTAAGCCTCCACTGTCGAAGTTTTTCTTGATACCGCGCGTTTCGCGCTTTTCGTTTCTCTTTTTTTTCTTTGTTTCCGGATCACAATTGTTCTTCCGCACACGTTTTTGGAGGTTTGATCGACTGGAGCATGCGTGTCCGCACACGTGACAGCGAAAGTCAGGAGACGCGGAAGCCCCAGTTGCGTCCATTGTACTTACAAAGCTCCAAAATAGTCTGAAAGAAACATGTTACTTGTATTTATAGAATCCTTAGCGCTACAAAAATAAAGTGGTCCACTTTATTTTTGTGTGGGTACTGGTACTGGTTTTGGGAAGGTACTGATTACGGGATTTGAGCTCACATATGGTACTGGTTTTGGGAAAAGCTCCTCTCCACTGTCACCTTGCAATGAAGGCGCGGCTGCACAGTCATTGCGCTATCCACTTCCGTGCACCACACACGATGAATGCATGTGCGCACGGTACGTAGCCTTCTTGGTCACTTTTATTGCATGTAAAGTATGTATTTGTTTGTAAAGTTGAGAACAGTATTATTAAAGCGAACAACATATTAACTTTTTAATATTTTGTCTAATAATAAGAACCAGCCTTAGATTATCGTGCTATTGGCTAATATTATGACGCAAATAACTGAGCTAAACGATAATATGTGTTAGCTTACTTATAGTTTGCAAAATGGGGGCCCTACGTGCAAGCAATGCGAGGCGAAGATTGACTCACTCCTGCTGAGCCCACAGCGGTCTACGACTTCCCGGGTGTGCTGTGTCTGTTGTGGGAAGCTGCAGTACGGTTACACGTTCTGTACAATTAGCGAACATGATATCGGGCAACACTGTATTGCCTGCGAGAACAGGCCCCAAAGAGGTTAAGTTCTGGAAGGAAAAGCCCCAACCACCTGATTCGGCCAAAGTGTGCCGCCAGGAAAGCCTGGCAAACGACAAGAAGGCGATGAGCCCTGACTGGTACCCCAGGAAGAAAACGAGGCGCAGCCGCCCTCGCAAGGTAACCGCCCGAAATGCTAAGTACATCGAGCAAAAGAAGCAGCACAAGAATAAGTTATTAGTAAATCTACCCTTTTAGGGCCCCATTTTCCTACCAATCTTCGTATTTAGTATACTGGTGGACAGTGCGAGGTTTAAAGCCGCACAAACGGTAAGCTGACTATGGCTCTGCCA